AATAATAATATTAATTTTAAATTAATATTAATATTAATATTGCGTAATATGCAATATTAGTTTGAAGTAAATTTTAATTGAAGTATATATTACCTAACTTCATCTATCTGATTTGTTGAAATCTGCTCGGATGGAATTAGATCACAGAATAATTCGGGGTGCAAAAGAACAATATTCCTTGGATCCCTCGGTATCGAGAGTGACGATGATTTCTCGTCGGACACGGAGGATTTGTCGATATTCGAAAATTCGGGCTGCTCCTCCATAATATCAGATTGTAAAGATTTTCTGCGAAGAAAATACTGATTTGTTAATTACATAAATAGTTATATTGATATATATTTATATCTTATTATGTCCATATCTATTCTGCGAATCGGAATATGTATTCGAGAAACTTTTATTCTTTCGATGAATTTATTTGATATTCCTTTAATTTTGCAAATGAATAATGTAAAGCTTATAGAAAAACTTTGTAAAATAAGATGTGAGTGAAACAAATAAATATATTATTGCGTTAAGACAAAGTAGAACAAAGCAATAAGCATTGTTTTTCAACTCAGATATAAAGACACAATAATATAAACACAAAATTTCTAATTATATTAACCTTAAATATTATTTTCTATATCTTTTAAATACTTGTTTGTGTGGTAACCGTAACATTTTACATTTAAAAATTATTATTAATGAAAAAGTTTCATCCAAAAATCTGTTAACATCGTTTTTATCTATCTCTGTAATTTTTAGAAAAACAAATTCCCCCTAAAAAATCAAAATTAATTCAAAAGTGTTACAAAACACTTGTCTGCTTTTTTATACATCTTTATTATTTTAATTATCCTTACCTTCTTTTTTTGAAATACGATTGTATACTCTTGTTTCGCTCAGATTACAGAAGATGCAAATACGTACGAAATAGCTTGTCGTTAAGAATCGCAATTCGGTATTGCAAACACAATGAGAAAAAAAGAATTTTGAATTATGCCAGTACACAATCTAATTGAACTATAACATCCAGAGATCATATTGCTCGAAAAACATGTCGAATGTTCTCGACTCTGATGAAACGAGAAACTAACGAAAATATCTGAGATATTTGTTTTTTGTTCTTTACGCGATTCTATACCGTATTGACAACATATTAGGTCAAATTCTCCAACGGTCCGTATTTATATGTTCTTCTTTCTTATAGTATTGTCAAGTTAGCCTGGTTCAATATCGATGTTACCAACTTTTGAGAATGATCTCGGTTTCTGCTCGAGTGTCGACGAGCAAAGGCAAAACGTTTTCGATAAGCGCTGTCTTTATGTAATATAAGCGGTGTTACAAAAGAAAACAATGAACTAGAGTGCAAGAAACAGCCCATTAATGTTATGCTGACGCGAGTTTGCCTGCTATCTTTGTTAACAGTGACCGTAGTGAACGCAAAGATTTATATACTGGATATATAGATTATTTGCACTAGATATGCGATTTTTTTAGACAACGCATTTATCATTATTATTGTTATTGTCGCATGCTTAATTGCGATTTAGAGAAAAAAGGACGTCTCGAAGCGCTTGCATCCGGCAAAAAATTTCAACAAACCAGTGATTATTTTCTATAGCGGGATAATCCTGTGGGAAATGAGAGAAAGACAAAAAACGCCTGCAAAATATATATAATGTATATTATATATTATGATAGTACGCGAGAACGTGAATAAAATAATATTGTAGGAATTCGCCCCTGGTCATTACGCGTCACTAGAGAATTTAAAGAATATTAATTATATGTCACATTACTTTACATCATTTGGAAAAAGAAAATTATTTTTATCGCTTTTATCGATTCGTCACATTTGTAATTAGTTGCAGTTAATATATCTAAATAATTACGCGGAATAATTCTTGTGTGATAAATTTTGTAAAAATTATGTCACATATTCCAGTGAGTTATGAATTACAAATTATGTTATTTATTGCGCGTGATTGCGTAACAAAAGAGTACATTAAACAATTTCCCAAAAAGATTTTGTTAAAATAAAACTCAGAGACACGCACAATTTATAGATTCGTATGTGTCCTCTCTCTCTTTTTCAAACAATGATATTTTAATCTATCTTATGCTTTGTTTCCATTGCATTTCGGTTCACTCAAAATATTATTTGTATTTCAGAAAGACAAAAGGCTTTACATCACGTTCCATTTCTGCAAGGATGACATTTTAACCATAAATCTCAAAAATTTCAAGCTTGAATTGGCATATGTTGGAAACTGACACCAAAAAGCGCGAACAGCTATAGTGACTAGCAATAATAAGGTAATGTTAAAGTGTAATTTCTACAAATTATATGTTTTTAAATATTTTATCAAATCACTCGAATTTTGTTAAAAAATTTAGAGATAAAGCAAATTCTTTTATATAAAGAGTTTGAAGCAACAAAAGCTTTGCAATTATAAAGTGGAAGATTAAATTGATCTTGAGCAGCTCTTTCTAGAATTGTTTAAATAAAATATTACAATAAATATTATATAATTAAAACACAGAAATCCGATACTGGAGTCAGAGAGCAAACGGGTGTTCTCATCTGAAACAGCTAATGACGAAGAAAGTGAAGCCAAAAAATGAGAAATTGTACTACATGAGTTTCACCATGTATGTAACATGCGAGAAGAAAAAAAATCTCTACAATCTCTACTTTTACTTTTAATTATCAGATTTACGATAATTACCAGAAAACGTTCTTTGTGGATTATGGTAAGATTATATGTAGATGATTAAAATATTAGACAATTGTTTGTCGATTGATTGTTGATCGATTGTCCTAAAAAAATATTTTTTTTATAGAAAATAGCAATGATTAATAATAATAATATTTTCAGCGACAGCAAGATACCTTCACCAGCTTTGTACTTCACAATGGGACTTACCTTTTTCTTGTCGGGCTGCTTTTGAATTGTTTAATCGTAAAAAAAAATAACAGTAGTTGCTTTCCATTTACAATATCAAAACTCAGATAATTCTCACTTGTGACGTCATAACTCAATTGAATGCACGTTCCTTTTGATGCTAGCAAGTGAGATCCAACTGAGTTTTTACGTGGTTCTGCACACGATCGAGACCGTGTGCTTTAGTGAGTCTAATAGACTCATATTAAAAGTGAGGTTATGAACTTGTATTGTTATGCGATAGCTTTGTTACCAAAATAAGCAGGTAAATGACGTCTTTATCTGATTATAAAATACATAAAATGACTCAGTACCACTTGAGTGAAAATGGAAAGCAACTAATATAATAACAAATATTATAAAACGTATTGCACTGATTACACTTGGCGTCACACATATATGAAGGGTGTCTCCTATTTTCGTATTTTTACCCGTGCTGATCGTCGGTTGGTGAGTTCGTTATTATTTCAAAAGTTCCTTAAACATTAGCCTTTCCGGGGGACCCTCGCGCACATGATCTGATTAGAAAAGGGTCTTACTTCCTTATAATTATTTTTGTCAACGTTGATGCAGCTGTGTTTATTACTTGTCCGTTAGAAAATTATTATCAGTATTAATACAGCTGAGTTTATTAAACATTTCGTTAAAAGTTCTTGTTATCTCGTTGTTCTTCCGCCGGAAATTCTACTGCAAGGGGTAGATATTATTTTTCATTTATCCCGAGGAGACCGGCATGGTTTCCATCACCGATTTCCTTGCGTCTTTCCCACGGATACTCGTGGATGTAGTTACTGACAAATGACAGTGTTTAAAAGAAACGTATGGCACAAGATGCTTTGTTTATTGAACGGTTCGTTCTTATCACCAACTGACGATCGTTACCGCAACGTCGCGGAAGAAAGGAATCGTGGAGTCGCCAGGACGTAACAGTTAATACATATATTTATAGGGCACAAACTCTTTTTAGAATCCATTCAGATTATATTTAATTTACCAGATTTATAGTTTATTCTTCGTTGTTTTGTAATGTATAGTTTTCTGCGATACTTTTCTTCTTCACCAATAGCAACAATGTTCACTGATACTAATAAAAACATCTTTGGTGCGGAGACTGGATCCTTGAAGATAAAAAGAGTACAAGAGACGCTTTCGTCTTTTTTGACACGGTGTGAAATAGCATATTGGTTTCCTGTTTGTTTATACATAAATAAATAGCATTTTAATAGAAACAATGTACGATATTTTCGGCAATTTCGTAATGCGATTTTCCAGTTATAGCTACAGTTTCTCCCAAAATCAATTATCCTTTCTACATTATCCGACAAACGTCCGATTAGTCGGCCGAAGATAAATTTAATTCATTGCAATCCGGCGAGATATCGCAATTTTTTTTAACTCACAATGTTTTACTTTTTACAACCTGGAACATAAAATAAGTAAAGTTTTGCCGCATAATAACTTCTCGTTTGTTGAAACACATCGTAGACAGATAAAATATATAAAAATGACTTAATCGATTAGTTAATCGTCTATGCATGTAAATTTTATAATCAGAAACTAATAGAAAATGATTACTTTCAAAACGATACTTTTAATTTTATTGTCTTTCGTAGCAATATCATGACATCAATTAACTCGACAATATCATTGTATAGCTTATACTCTTATACTAAAAATAGCAATAATCCTTCATGAAAATGAATGTAAAAAGATAATGCTAGATAATCATGCTTGTGTTTAAGATTGTATTAATATAATGCTAGATAATCATGCTTGTGTTTAAGATTAACAAATTGTATTAATAATTATTTTTGAAAAATACTGCAAGCAATGAAGTGAATAGAATTTACGCAATCGTTGGTGTACATATATAAAGGATGTAATATGTCTATGCATGACCGTAATTTTAATGAATCTTTAAAACAATTGTCGGGTAAACATTTCGTTTAAAAAAAACAGAAAACATGACACTCCGCACAAATTGAATAATTTTATTTGTTGAAATTAATATAATGTACAAGAATTTAAATAAAAAAGAAATAAGTAGATTATAAAAATAGGATATTTACGCAAAGAATCGAGAAATCGTATTTAATAAAAACATATTTGTTGAAATTAATATAATGTACAAGAATTTAAATAAAAAAGAAATAAGTAGATTATAAAAATAGGATATTTACGCAAAAAATCGAGAAATCATATTTAATAAAAACATAAATATGTGTGAATGCTGGTACAGATTATTCAATTTATGCAAAATATTTAAATTACTTTTGCATTTGTCAGTCACATCATATAATATTTAAGTGGTTATCATTAATTATATAATTTACCATTTAGAGTTTTGCAATTCCGTTTAATTTTTAAAGTTAAATCAATTACTTATATTTTGTACTCAAGCTTTTATCTAAAGAAACATTCATTTAAAGAAAATACATCAATAACTCATCACATGGCTAACGTTTTGTTTCGATAATTTATTTATAAATATATAAAAAATACAAGTTACAAGATTTACAAAGTAGTAAATGCATTTAATCTAATTATTATTCGTGATCTAAACTTTCTTATGTACATACAATTATTATTATTATATAAATTAAAAATTATAAAATATTTGAGCAAAACGTAATTTTACAAAATTTAAATAATAATTTTAATACGCATTTAAAAAATAATTGTATTTTAAAATAAGAATGTTATGTAAATATACGTTTATATAATGTTAAAACATATACTCTTTTTTTATAATTTATTTATCCTGATTATAAAATATTTATCAAATTTGTAGATACATTCTGTGTAGTTTCAAAATTTGACATACTCAAAATTTTTTCACTTTATACTCAACAAATATTTTAATTTACAGTACAAATTATTTATCTATATAGTATAAAAACGTTTATTATAAATCAAACTGTTTAATAATTATATAGCTAAAAAAAGCAAAACGAAACTATCGCAAATGACTTTCCAATTATATAAGAACAATCGATGTTAACAACGTAGCGCAGCGTAATGCCTAATGTTTGAGCATTACGTATCATTACGTTTACACGAGATATTACGAGGTATATCGAGAATTTTAATCAATGTGAATTTGTTTAACCGTGCGTTATAGTGTGTTAAATACGTGTTCCACCGAACGTACATTAAACAATACATCACCTTCTACAAAAAGATCACCGCTCGTTTTTAGTACAATCCGAAAGTAATGGATACGAAAATTTCATCACGCGTTTACAATAACGGATCATGACTGTAAATTATATGCAAGTTGGCTTTCAGTACAAAATTAATAGTCTTATTCCAATATTGTTGCGTCATACGCAATACAATAATTTGGACAATCTTGTCTCCTCGGAAACAGTTATGTATGATCTTTATTGTCTAACAACCATATTTTTTTGGCAATCGGTATCATCTTCTATCAAACGTCGTTTATAATAATCGATTTGATCTTGGGAGAACGTTTGTCCGATATTTTTCGCAGTTTTCCTAATGTGTTTTTCTATTGTGTCCTCGCTCAAAGGTTTGTAGGGAATAATTTTCATAATAATATTCGCTTTGATAAAAAAATCTTTTACTGCGTTTATAGTGTGGTTAAGATCTGCACGCGTCGAATCGTCATCAATCTGCTCAACTTTAAAAACGGCCAATATGGTAAACTCCCGATTGCCATATGCTTCTTGATACGTGTTAACATAGTTTATAACGACTTTAGAATGCTCTACTCTCAAATTCTCCAAGACAATAAAGGTCGGAAACGAAGGTGAGAGACCGTTTCTCCTCCTTTTGCGTAATTTTTTTTTTATAATGTCCATCGTGTATGGTTTGTCGACGCTTGTATCACCGATGAGAGCTACTACTTTTAAAATAGGTGTATCTCGCTCAATATATTTGGTCACGGCTCGTACGGTTGCATCGTGATCGAGTATCCCTTCCTCCAATTCGACAATAGCAGTCGCAAAAATGTCAGCGTACTCATCATTCTCATCCGTCCTCTCCTCCCGCACAAGTCCAAAACGGAAATAAAATTGAAATAAAAATAGAGATAGAATTAATATTAATAAGATTATAAAACATTTCAAACATGTGGAACATTTCGACGAACATTTCTTTCGATGAATTTTTACTTTCATATCGTGAATGTTTTCTGATTTTTTGTCTTTTCGAGCCTTATCATAAGTTATCACAAGAATTGGTTTTGAAGGAGTAACTTTTTGGATAATCTCTTTTTTTAATGAAGATAGTAACACATAAATAAAGAAAATTATATATGCCCATTGTAATAATTCATTCTTAGACATCTGTGTTGATATCAATTCTACAAAATTCATGGAGTCCATAATTTCCTCATCATTTGTAGTTATCGATTGACTATCTGATATAGATGTAGATGAAATGTTTCCAATATCGTGAATATTTATCGTTGAATCTGTAGATTCTTTTTTATCATTATCTTCCACTTCCACTTTTTTAGACATCTGTGTTGATATCAATTCTGCAGAATTCATAGAGTCCATAATTTCCTCATCATTTGTAGTTTTCGGTTGACTATCTGATTTAAATGTAGATAAAATGTTTCTAATATAGTGAATATTTATCGTGGAATCTGTAAATTCTTTTTTTTCCGAATCTTCCACTGAAGTGTCCTCAGATTGAAAGATTGGCGTAGACGGTGGCGCAATCACTTCAGAAGAGAATATATAGGAAGAGTCTGCAGAGGACGTAGGGGACGATTCCGTAGGGAACAGCTCCGTATTATGCTCGCTAATTAGATCGCTATCAAGCGATCCCGATACATTATTTATTTTGTTAATTAAAGAGTTACATTCCGTATCTTTTCTATGTGCCTCATATTCTGCTAATACCTGATCTCTAATATTTTAAAATAAAAGAATACTTGGTTAATGACATGTCATATATTTTTTTTTTGTTAATTGTATATGTTGAATCCACAGACTTCTATATATTACTAGATATATATTACTATATATTGCTAACTCCCCAAATTTCGCTTATATAAAATGGCCTCAAAAAGCATGTATTAAGGTATCTCATTTTTTAAAAGTGAGGTTATGAACTTGTATTGTTATGCGATAGCTTTGTTACCAAAATAAGCAGGTCAATGACGTCATTGTCTGAGTATGAAATACTCACATAACTGAGTGATTCAGTATCACTTGAGTGCAAATGGAAAGCAACTAGTATTATATATAATAACGATGAAACATTAGCAGAACAGAATCGCTGGCGTACACATATAAAGAATGTCTATGTATCACCGCAATTTTAATGAATTTTTAAAACAATTGTCGGGTAAACAATTGTCATTTCGTTTCGGATAATTAGAAAACAAGAACCTCCGGACCAATTGAATAATTTTAGTTGTTATAATTAGTATAATTATTTTTTAGAATATGTATTTTTTTGAAGAAACACTTAAGGAAATGGAATTACGGAATAAACTAGAAGAGCGTAATGTAATATAATTTTGGCGTTACCAAATGAATGTTATTTCTAATCAGTTGCATTACATTATTGACGTAAAAGGCAAATAACAGATCTATCATAAAAAGACTAACGCGAAATGTGTATGTACAAGAACTTAACTAAAAAAGAAATAAGTAGATTATAAAAATAGGATATTTACGCAAAGAATCGAATATATTTAGTATTAACTTAATTATTGTTGAATAATTTAGATTTTCTATGAATATACCAAATTTACATTTATATTTATTTATTTTTCTTTAATAGATTTCTGTTTTTCGGACGAGATACCAGGATTACTGTCTATTGCTAACTCCCCAAATTTCGCTTATATAAAATGGCCTCAAAAAGCATGTATTAAGGTATCTCATTTTGCACATGCGCACAAACAATTTGATAGATATAATCTCCATAATCATAATACAGTTGACAGTTATTTTAATCTGAATCGGATAAAAAAATTATCGAAGAATAATAATAGAAGTAATATAAAAATGTCTATTAAATATATGCTGTTGTAAAGTGCAAAAGCACCGCAGCATACAACAGAAATAAAAATAATGATAATAAAATCTCTTTCTTTAGGTAAATATTATTAAGTAAAAATATATGGTAAAATTATATATGTTATGAGGCTGTCATGTGTCTTTTGATCATTCAAAAAAATTCTGTAATAAAATTCTATAATATATTTAGTATTAACTTAATTATTGTTGAATAATTTAGATTTTCTATGAATATACCAAATTTACATTTATATTTATTTATTTTTCTTTAATAGATTTCTGTTTTTCGGACGAGATACCAGGATACCACTTGATCATATGTTATGTATATCAAATGTGTGTATGTGATGTATGTGTGTATGTATGTGCGAATGTGTGTATATAGCGCATGTATCATCAAAGAGCATGCGCAAAAAGGGTTATCTTATGTACTATTTCGTACATAAGAAATGGAGACGCCTTATACATACAAAGTTAGCAGTCTAGTAATATATAGAAGTCTGTGGTTGAATCTCGCGAATAACCACGTTACGTTAAATATAAAGATAGCGTTCAAATATTTATTTTCAATTAAAAATATTTCTAGATTACTTTTGTAAATAATTTTTTTATTTTGTATTTTTATCTCAAGCGATTTAATCTTGTATAGAAATTGTTTTAATTGCCAAAATATATTTACTCGAAAAATATATAATTTTTAATTATACAAGAAAATAATACTCGCATACAGTTTTATTCTAAACAATTCTTAATAATTAAAATAGAATCGAATTATGCTCACTGTAATAATTCATCCTTAGAGATTGATTTTGACATGAAATCTGCAGAATCCATATGGTCCATAACTTTCTCCTCTGTAGTTTTCCCTTGATCATCTGATACCATAGGTGTAGATGAAGTTGATGCAATTGAATGTGAATTGTTGGAACGTTTTGTTGAATTCATAATTTTACTTTGTTTCATATGTTTAAATCCATAATAGTCCCAAGACAACCTTGAGCTTTCGGATGGTGTAGGTGTTATTTTATGTTTCATATGTTTAAATCCATAAGAGTCCCAAGACAGCCTTGAGCTTTCGGATGGTGTAGGTGTTATTTTATAATCGTCATAATTTATTTTAAAATTCTTTGTTTCTTTGCATTTCTTTGAAAGCAGGGAACTTTCTGAATCTAAAATTGCTTGTATTTTTTTGGACGCCTCTTCCTGCATCTCTTCTTTAACATTTAGTTCCTTATTTAGTTCCAGGTTCTAAAAATAAAAAGATGATTGATTAATGTCATATGATATCTTGTCTTTTTGAAATAATCGCACGTTCTAGTTTTTGAATCGCCTTGCGTGCGTTGCATAATGAAAGCGCCATGTTCAAATATTTTATTGTATTTATTAAAAATATATTTATATTAAAAATATATCTATTGAAAATATATGTATATTTTATTGTTTTGATCTTAATAATAAATACAAATATTATAATCCAAATTAGTGAACTTTTTATTTTGCATTTTTGTCTCAAACAATTAAGCTTTATGTAGACATTGTTTTAATTGCAATGAGATATCTTTACTTGAATTTTTAATTATATGAAAAGATAATTGACACAAATGTAGTATTATTCTAAACAATTCTTAATTTTTTATGCAAATTATTAAAAAACATGTACACATAATAAAATAAACAAATAAAATGTGTGTATGTGGGTGTATGAATATGGATATATATATATATTAGGTTTACCGGAAAGTTCTGTTCGTTTTTGGAATAAAACAAAATACAAATTTTTATTACCGTCAATAAACTTTATTAAATAATGTTAAAGTAAATGTAAACATTAAAGGATATAATATTTAACATAAATATCCTGATTCAATTAAAATCTGCCTGTTGCAATGGCTGTCCAACTTAAACAATTTTAATTCTTCAAAAGTCTTTAAAGAAAAAATTTGCAGGCTAGACAGAAAAAAATTCTAATTACCTTGACAATCAATAATTCTTCATTTGATTGTGAATTAAAGGAATCTTCAACATAGCCATCGGTCTTTTCCATGGAAAACTCTCTGCAAAAATGTAAAACCAGCACAATTTATTAATAACATATCTCTCAAGTTACTTTGATATATATTTACGCTTTACTTCATTTTTTGTGAATCAAAACAAACATTTGAAAAATTCTTAATCAAAGAATTTATATGATATTAGCTTACTCTTATTACAAATGACTAAAGTAAATCTTAGCAAAAAAGTTAATATATAATTGCGTTAATGCTTCTGTGTTCTCACTTATATGATTTTCCGTTTCCGACGTTATAATCCAATATAGTTGCAGAGAAGACGCATGAGTCTTAAGAATCGTGATTTGGCTTTAAATCGTCACGAAATCTTACCACCATACAATGCAAACAAATCATAAATTACATTAATTAAAGAAATCACATTAATCAAAGAAGACGTCGAGTGTCCTCAAATAAAATAGAAACTAATAAAAATCCTTCATACGTTTGTTATTATTATCTTTCTTTTTTATTATTTTTGGAGCAATTCTGTTGTGTTGACAATCGCGTGTTGACATGCTTGATAATACGTTCGGTCAAGTTTGTCCCTTTTTTATTGCACAGTACTGTCATATTTGATTCTGATATTTCCAACGTTTCGAGACAATCTCAATTTCTGCTTGGATATTGCTCGCGAGGACAAAGAGCTCTCAATGCGACGTACTTTTAAGCTGACTCAACTATTTTTATTTTATGCACAAATTTTTATTTAAAGAACTTATTTCACACATACATATAGTCATTTTTTCGTAAATATGTATGAAAAGTACAAGTATAAAGTGGCAACATCATAATCTAATTTTTGTCCATAATCTAAAGTTTCTTCTTATATATAATAATTCTTATTATTTATATTCTTATATTTATTTATTTATTCTTATATTATTTATATTCTTATATTATACAC